GCAACTCGGTGGGGAAAGAGAGGTTAAAGCTGAGCGAGGTTGTTAGCATGATTCTATCCGAGGAGGTTAGAAGGAAATCATCTGAATCAGAAGGTTCAGGTTCAGTTCTAAATCTCGAGCAGAGAGGCCGAAACTAGAAGAAGAGAAACTAGAATAGGATCGGTCGAAGTCGAAGAAGAAGAGGTCGAACTCGAAGGTTAGGCCTATCAAAGGGAAGTGTTGGAACTGTGGCCAGGAAGGTCATATGTCTTTAGTCTGTGAAGCACAAAAGAAGGATGCGAATGAGCACGAGGCTCATATCGTGCAAGATGCCTTGATCCTTGCTATGGATATCGATTCTGATTCATGAGAAATTGATTCAGGAGCCTTCTTCCACGCCACTGCTAATAGGAAGCTTCTTCAGAACTATGTAGCAGGGCACTTTGGGAAAGTGTACTTGGGAGACAACGAACCTTGTAGTATTGTTGAAAGAGGCGACGTGCAGATTCAGATGAAGGGCTCTAAGTGGAATCTGAAGAACGTCAGACACGTATCGAAGCTGAAGAGGAATCTTGTTTCGGTAGGCTAGCTTGGAGAGGAATGTTATATTTCAACATTCACCGGAGATTCGTGGAAAATCTCTAACGGTACTATGGTGGTTGCTCGCGACAACAAAACAGGAACTTTCTACCTCACTTCACTTGCGAGTGACATCCTCGCAATTGCAGCTGGCAAAGAGAGTACGGATTTATGGCACAATAGGCTGGGACACATGAGTGAGAAGGGTATGAAGATTCTACACTCACAGGAAAAGCTAACCGGTATCGATTTAGTTAAAGTTGGTGTTTGCGAAGATTGCATCTACGGGAAGCAGAAGAATGTTAGCTTTCAGAAGAGTGGAAGACCACCTAAATCTCAGAAGCTAGAGCTTGTCCATACAGATGTTTGGGATCCAACTAGCATGTCTTCTCTTGGCGGTTTGGCTTACTATGTCACATTTATCGACGATCACTTGAGGAAGGTGTGGATATACTTCATGAAGCACAAATCAGAGGTGTTTGAGATCTTCAAGAAGTGGAAAGTCATGGTAGAGAATGATACATATCTGAAAGTGAAGTGCCTGAAATCAAACAATGGTGGACAATACGAACTGGAGGAGTTCAAAATGTTTTGTGCTCTAAATGGGATTCGTTTAGAAAGGACTACTCTAGGGTCGCCGCAACAGAATGACATTGCAAAGAGGATGAACGGGACATTGATAGAGCGTGCAAGGAGCATGCGTTTACATGAAGGTCTACCTAAGACGTTTTGGGCGGACGTGGTGCATACGGCAGCTTACTTGATTAATCATGAGCCATCAATTCCATTGGATTTTGTGATTCCATAAGAGGTTTGGAGTAGCAAGGAAGTTAATCTCTCACATTTGAAGGTCTTTGGTTCGGTAGCATATGTTCATATCAGTGACCATGTTAGGGACAAGCTATAAGCTAAGTAACAGAAGTGTACATTCATTGGATACAACATTGATGAGTTCGGATATCGTCTTTAGGATGAGAAGAACAGGAAAATCATCAGGAGCAGAGATGTGACATTCAATGAGGATGTGTTGTACAAGGACATGGACAATGCCAAGGATAACCAAACAGTGGGAGCAGCACTAAGAATGCACGTGGATCAGAGTACATGGATTTAGAGTAACTTCCAGATGGAGGAGACAGTGTCAGTTCTGACCGAAGAACGGAGGAGACTCCAGGTGCATAGACTACTACCCAGGACGTGGAGCTTAGGAGGTCATCCAGGGTACCCAAACCGAATCTCAGATATCTTTCGTCACTAGATTATTTACTTCTAACAGATAGTGAAGAACCGGAGTGCTATGAGGAGGCTATGCAAGTTAGTGAATTTCAGCAGTGAGAGCATGCAATGCAAGAAAAGATGGTTCTCTCCACTCGAACGAGACATGGGAGTTAGCCCATCTACCTGCACATAAAAATACCTTACATAACAAGTGGGTCCACCGAGTCAAGCAAGAGAGTGATGGAAGCAAGAGGTGCAATATCAGATTAGTTGTGAAAGGGTTCCAACAGCAGGAAGGAGTGAATTATATGGAGATATTTTTCTCCATTGTGAAGCTTACAACCATCAGAGTGGTATTAAGCTTAGTACATGCTGAAAATCTTTACCTTGAGCAGTTAGATGTGAAGACTGATTTTCTTCATGATGACTTAGATGAATAAATCTACATGAAACAACATGTTGGATTCATTAAAGAAGGAAAGGAAGAGATGGTGTGTAAGCTCAAAAAGAGTTTGTACGGTTTGAAATAGGCTCCGAGACAGTGGTAAAAGAAGTTCAACAACTTCATGCAAAGCAATGGCTATGGAAGATACAATTCAGATCATTATTGATACTTCAAGAGGTTCGAGTCCAGCTATATTGTATTATTATTGTATGTTGATGACATGTTAGTTGCAGGACCGTATTTAGAGGAGATAAACAAGTTGAATAAGCAATTGGCAAAAGAGTTTGCTATGAAAGATCTGAGTGCAGTGAAGCAAATTCTTAGGATGCGAATCAGTAGAGATGAAACTGAAGGGACGTTAAAGTTGAGTCAATATGAATACATCGAGAAGGTACTTCAGAGGTTCAACATGGAGAATGCTAAGCCCGTCGACACGCCCCTTGGAAGTTAATTCAAGCTATCTGAGGAGCAATCACCCAAGATAGATGCAGAAAAGGAGCACATGAACAGGATGTCATACTCATCAGCCATTGGTAGCCTTATGTACGCGATGGTTTGCACGAGGTCGGATATCGCCCATGCAGTGGGAGTTGTGAGCAGGTTTGTAAGCAATTCAGGGAAACAGCATTGGGAGGACGTGAAGTGGATATTGCGTTACTTGAAAGGGACTATGGATATGTCATTGTGTTTTAGGAGGAAGGAGTTGGTATTGTGGGGATACGTGGATGCAGATTTCGCTGGTGATCATAATATGAGGCGAAGTACCACGGGGTATGTTTATACTTTAGCATCGACAATAGTGAGCTGGGTCTCACGTCTGCAGAAGATAGTAACATTGTCCACGACTGAGACAGAATATGTCGTAGTGACCGAAGCCAGCAAGGAGATGATTTGGTTGACCGGGTGCCTGGAAGAGTTGGGTTTGAAGCAGGGAAACAGTGTTCTTTATTGTGATAGCCAGAGTGCTATACACCTTGTCAAGAATCTAATATATCATGCCAAAACGAAGCACATTGACGTACGTTATCACTTCGTACGCTCGCTAATTGAGGACGGCAAGTTACAGTTGGAGAATATTTTGGGGAGTCAAAATCTTGCGAATATATTGACGAAAGCAGTGACCATCGACAAACTGGAGTTGTGCGCAACTTCAGCTGGCCTTCACGCGTAGGAGCTGAAAGCGGAGCCATACTAGGAGGATCAGCGGGATCGCTAAGATGATATTGATTGAAGAATGGATTTTTCGGGATAGGAGAAGATGCTTGCGAAGATGGCGGGAGTTCGAGAGAGCTCGTTGATGGCGGTTTCGTCTCTAAGTGGGAGATTGTTGGTTTTGTTCGTGTGAAGAACGAAACATGAAGCAATTGTGCGAGGCTGAAAAATCTCGGGTCGGTCAACCGACGAAGGAGATCCGATCGACCAAAGCGACTACAGGAAACGAGGCTGGAAACAACGCTCTGACCGGTCGACCGAAGGCCCTTATCCGGATAACATGCACGAAGACCCTGTAACATAGTGTGTTCTGGCCGATCGGCCGACACCCATGGTCCGGTCGACCAGAATCGGTTTTTTTCCAGTTTCTTGATTCGTTTGAGGAACTGTTTTGGGCCAGGATGCTATATATACCTAAATGATTTTAGGGTTATACGCAACATAGAAAAAGAGAGTTTTGAGAGGATTCTTTCAGAGAGATAAAAACCTATTTGTAGGCGTTGTAATCTTCTTCAGTTAATCAAGTTTTTGTGATGTGGCTCCCGAGGACGTAAGCACGTTTGCCAAACCTCGTTAAATCCGGTGTTCTCTGATTTGATTATTCTTTCCTGCAAGTTTTTTCTTTTATTTGCGGTGATTTTCCTACTTGTTAAACTCTTAGCACAAGATCCGGAATGGTACGGGTTCGATTGTGTGATTCGAATCCCCAAACACTTTGGAGGGGTAGATTGTTCTGATCATTTGGCTGTAGAGCTTCACTAGTCCTCTCCAACTTCCTTTTATATCCATCTTAAGGATTTGTAGTCTTACATCATCGGAAAGGAAAAACCTCTAAAAATGGAAAATAAGCAAACATGCTGAAGAAAAAGTAAATCGTTACTTACTTCAATACCCATAGGGCGGAAAGAGCAACGCTAATAGTTGTATTAACCTTGTATTACGAGAGACAAAAATGAGAGTCTATAAAAGCCTATGGTTTTTCTTTATGATTCACAAGGACGGACTCCACATTTGTGTGTCTAAATAAACTTAATAGTTTTTCGTTGTAATAATTCACGAGCAGCAGTTGCTCGTCTTAAGACAAAAAGCTTGTGAGGATTCTGAAGAACAATAAGTTCAACAGTGGTCCCCAAGAATTCAAAGCGAGGGACAGGCCGTGGTTTAATCACTAGAAAGACCTTGATGCGCATAAGGAGTTGAAACTTCACTCATAATGTGCTATAGCATAGAATGATCCTAGTTTTGGTAGCATATTGGCACCTGTCAATTTTCCCTCCTCACAAATCAAGGACAATAACTGACGAGAAAGAAAGTCTTGTGCCTCACATAGTGCCACTTTGGGTAGGAAAAGGACTACCATTAGAGCTTGTGGAAGATCACCTCTTTCCTTTTTCTTCCTTTCCATTTTATTTTTCTTTTAAAAGTATGAATTTAGAATATTCCACCTGAATAAAGTAGTGCTGGGATAGAAAGTGCTGAAAACATATTGCTTACTTAAGAAAGCACAGTGTGAGAGTTCCAACGATAATCACCTTGAATGACAGAGAACTACGTTAGCAACCATAAGAGCTGAAAATGTCTGAAATCATGGCTCATATCCACCCAAATACCTCCAGAAAAATCCTTCAGGAAGGAAAATAACTCCTCATTGAGCAAAACGACCGTAACAAAACACATTCTTCTCCTTCATAACTAGGACTAAGAAGTTCCATAGTTGCAAAATCTTGAAAGCATGAGGATGTTTCATCATACATCTCAGTGGTCACATGATGTACTTTGCATCAAAAACAACTAAGATTAAACTGCGACGTGATCGATCAAGAAGGATCAAACCCACATTCCATTTAAATATGTCAGGCAAGTGAAGAAGGTAGGAAAAACCTGCCATTGCCATGACTTCAATCTCCCTTCTTTCTGAAAGAGCATCCCTCTGTGAGCCTTGCACGACCCCCTGTTGGCTGGCACAGCACAGTCTGGCAGTTACCGCAGACGACGACAGTCTGTGAGTGGCTAAACACAGTTGTTCTGCAAAAATGATAGATAACTGTCATTAGCATGCAATTGCAAGTGGCTATATATATAGATTTATAATTATTCACCACTCCCATCATTTTTCACAATTTTCAAGGAAACAATCAACCATGAATGTTCAACATTTGAGAATATACGGCAGTAGAGAAGATATTGGCAGTTAATTTGATGGAAATGACCATTAAACGCAGAGATGAGAAAACAGATGCTATCGTATTTTGCATGCTTTATCATGAATTAAAAACAAAAGATATATCCAAACTGAAACTACAATGATGAGATGTAAAAAATTAGACATCTACCATATAGCACTTCGAAATCTAAAACAATAGCCTACTAAATGACTACGGAATCAAACAGAAAAGGCTAGGTTCTAATATGATGCAAAATGCAAGTTGAAGTGTGGTTTATCATGTCAATTGAATATACTGCAGTACACCATATAAATAAGTGTTAAGACCCATCAACGCGCACAACTGTAACTAATGTTTCGCTCATCTTAAACACGGAATAACTGATTCTCGGATTAAATGTTTTATACTTGTGTTAAAAGTCTAAAATTTTAGATTGCGGAAGCCTAAAAAGGTTCATTATCTAAAAGGATCAAGTTTATGTGAGATGATTGTGTAAGCCTAAAAAAGACAGTATTTAGAAGGATTGAGATTATGTGAGATAAATGACGGCACATAAGATCTGAAATAATATATATATGAACTGAGAATTTGTATACATAGGCATCTGCTTTCTGCAGCAGATACAAATATTGATCCATATACATCAAATCTATTACCAGAACTAACATTCACATTGGTCATAAGACTCATAATGGATTATGGATAAGAGCAAACCTGCTCCACCAAAACAAATAAACAATAATGGTCACTGAGCCTAACTCAAACCACAGATGTTAGCATTTATCAAAATTTAAGCAAATATCCTCCTTGAGAAGAACACTCTGTCAAAAGACACAACAAAACCTTACAAATAATTTAAATCGTCTCTAATTCAAGTTCACCTGTTGTTTTTCCTGCTATTTCTGTGTCACCAGTCCTCTCTACAAATCACTCAGCTGTTAGCAGCACGTGATGCTAAGGCAGTAACCCATCACCAGTTGGTGCAGTTTCTACAACTTACTAATATCTCAAGATTATCAACTTAATATAATTGCAACATAGATCCTCAACTCTCAATATAATTGCAATATGAAGCACATCCGATCCATCAAATCTAATACTATTCTAAAAGTGTGTTGGATGTTAAAACATTTCTTCCGAAACGCCCTCAAAAAATGTGTATAACTATTAAAGTAACATTCATAGATGGATATCAATGTCATTTGTATCTCTTGATGATAAAAAAACACACATGCATATGCATACATAGATAACATGATAAAGATTACAATAAATGCCTGTAAACACATCTTTACTCTCTCAACTGAAATATGCTCATATTAAATATTGTATATTCATAGTACAAAACCAGCTCAAAAAAATTAATAGAAAATGTAGGAGAGTGGAGGCTACATTATGATCAAAGTTCAAAGATAAATAAGGAAAATGCATCCGCTTTTCAGTTAAAATTACCCATTCAACTACTATCCATTATCCCCACTATTTATCCAAACCTCAATCATTCATTTACTACCCACTAATTACTTATTATTTTCATTAATTCTTCAGTTTCCATGACGTCTCATTTCTTCCTTAATCTCTACTAATAAAGCACCTCCATTTCCATAAAAAAGAAGGGCATGAACCCTACGAATTTTATCTCACCAATTAAGTTTCAGTCATCTTCTACCTAAAACCAATGAAAGGGACGAAATTTCCCTAGGCTGAACTTTTGTGATTTGATAAATTGGTTGATGTTTATTCTACCAAACCAGAGATGCTGCAGAAGATTTTCAGCAAAAAAACTTTTTGCTCTGCTCAAGAAAGACTTTTAACGTTAGGGTTTTTCCACTATCTTTCACCAAATGATTTACAGGATAATACATAGTATTGAAAAATTGAATACAATTTTTATATGTATTGCTTTAGTAGAATATAATCTATAATGTATGAATACACATGAGAAATTTGTAGTTTTGTTATTGCTAGTGCTACAATTATTTCGACTCTTTGTCGACGGGGCCATGTTTGAAACGGACAATGGCCATGGCAAAGAGATCTGCGGGTCGTGCTTCTACGACTGGAGGTCCACAATCATGAGTACTACCTTGGCGATGAGATAAAAGAATGATATATCAAGGTGTTTGTGTATTATGAGAAATTAAAAAAAAAGAATTTATGGGATTGTAGCAGAACATTGCAAAATGAAAATAAAATTGATATTCTTGGAAGTTTTTAATGTAAGTTTGAATGTCCTTTACATTGTCAGTGTTGTAGAGTCATGAAAACAATTGTTCTCATAATGATGATATCATTGTTCATATAATGATGACATCAGTCACGATCATTGTGAAAATCATTATCAACTGGAAGTGTGGAATACATATATCAGAATGGAGAATCACTAATCTATACAAAATTTAAAGATTTGAATAGAATTTGAAGGAATTCTACCTCGGAATCAATTATTAAACTAATATAAATTTTGATTGGGTTCGAATATAATAAACACAAAGCACTATCGAAAGTTGGAAGCAGGGATAAAAAAGAAAACAGTAAGTTGTTACTCAAAATTATGAAACATGCAACCAAAGTTTTATGTTGTCACTTGCACTTTAATTTTAAGAATTTCTCTTTATAATACAAAAGACAGCACATTATGAGTATGATGGTATAACTTTATCAACTTCATCATTTGACCAACTTTTTAATATTTGTTATTCAACCAAACACAATTAATACGAATATCAGTTCATTCAAATTAATTTCTAATTTATAAAATTTGGAAAAGCGTAACTGCTCTAAAAGTAATTGACATTTGTGATGGTTCATTTAAAATCCAATAAAAGTTATGACTATGCAACAAGGATCAAAATATAAGATAATAACAAAATAATTCTCTTTTAGATTAAAACCTTTTTCTAAGATAAAATAAAATGACCTGGATTATGGACTCATTACCAAGCTAAAGTATGCTTACGTGCAACAAACGTACACTATACTAGATTTAATGTAAAAGTCCAATGTGATTCTCACAACTCATCCGTAAGATTTACCAATTTAGCACATTTAATTAAGTCCACTGAAACTGCTTCATGAAGCGCCCAACATGCTAAAACATAAAATATTAAAAACTTGCTAGTAATTTTGTAATCTCTTCAATAACGAAACATGCAATGCACCATTAACCTTCTGGTCGATGTCTAAGGCTGTTAAATTGTCTTCAACTATGGTTAACCCTTCTTTTGTACAATCATTAGTTTACATGTACAAGATGATAAACCACATTGTGGATCTTTTTTCTGCTTTCCCACCTTCTCAGTGCAGTTAATTATACTCACATTTCATCCATTAAACTGTAACATAAACACGCAATGACACTTAACTCTAACCCATAAACTTTTGCTAATTGTACTCACATTCAGTCACATTAATATTGTTCCACCAGAACCAACACATGCTGAAACATGAAGCATCAAAGGACCTTTGTAACATTACAGGTCAATGAAACAACTGGATATATAATGCACTATTAACCTTCTCTTACATTGTCTAGTACTGCTACTATCATCTTCAACTATCTATCACTATCATCTTGTACCTGGGTGCTTCCAATATGGAGCCATACCCATACACGACACGTGTAGTACCTATATCAGTACCCAACACTTCTTGGGCACTCCTTAAATATATGCATATATCGATTCAGACCAAGACTCAATTATAAAATGCATGTTTAACTTAAAACACTTGTCATGCACTTCTTGGATATATATACCCTACACTTCACATTCATTTTTGTAACTTGTTGGGATAGGGGTTGAGTTCGTTTCAGCCTTAAGAACTACGATTTAAAAGGTCGTTTACATTTATACCTCAGAATTATAATTATATCCCATTGCGGTCATGTTCTCCAAACCTACAAATGTTAGCATCCCATATCCAAACCCGTATTCACACAACTTAGTCTTCAACTATCTTTTAATCATTATTGTTCAGTACTTTAATGTGTGGAAAGTCCAAGATCTAAACAACATTGCGGATCCCCTACTAGCATCTCTCATTTTTACCATCAGTACTGCTACAAGATGTTGGTATTTATTCTAAATTTTTGACACCCAACTTATTTTTCATTTTCTTGTTTAGCATCTCATTTTATTTTCATGAAACTGCTAATAAGCATGACTACATCCGTAGAAAAGTAGCTCTTACATTCTTTAATGTAGCTACATCTTGATCCTAGAAATAACTCCTACACCATGCTAATGACTAACACTTTATTTGGGAGTTTACTAAGGGAAGGGACAGAAAGTTAAATAATGGAAAGGAAATATATGGAAGGAGAGTAAAAAGATAAAGTGTTGTTTGGGAGTTTAGTAAGAAGAACAGAAGTAAATTTAGTTTACCTTGTTTGGGAGTTCTAATAAGAAGAGGGAAGTAAAGTGAATATATAAAGTTACATAAATACATTTATATGTTATTAAAATGAGGGTATATCTTAGCCATTGATTTTAATGCCATACGGGTATAATTGTCTTATCATATTGTAAAAATTTACTCTCATTTCCATTATATTCTCTTCCACTAAAATTGGAGGGAGGAAAATCTAGGAAATTTAACCTTCCATTCCATCCTCTAACCCCCTCAAAAAAAGTTTCAAAAAAGGTTAAATGGAATTTCGCTTTAACTTCCATCCTCTAACCCACATCCAAACACACCCTAAATGTAATCGGAATTACTTAGTAGATGATATTATAAAAACCCATAAACAACAAATAGAATTGCATAAAACTACTACCAGGCTCCAATGCACTTTTTATACAAAAGTATTTAGCTATTTTTTAAGAAAGTATTTATTAATCCAAAGTTTTCAATGAAATCATAATAACACTATTGGTGACTTGACAATAGAAAAATAAAATTATTAAAACATCTAGATAAATAATAATGCTTTCTCTAAAAAATTAAATTACTATTTAATAACTGGTAAATATATGAAGCATTGTAATATAAATTTTACATATTTAAATGTTATATAATTTGCATATTAGTAAGAAAAAGACCTCTAACAATAATGTTTTCATTTAAAAGTTTACTTTGGGGGATATGATTAAATTACTACATTATTTCTTAGTTCCATATTTAATAAGAAGCAACTTATATCTACCAAATGAATACTACCACAAAAATGATCATAACCATAATATACCTTGCATTTCAAAAAATTATTATGAAACTACTAACAATGAAATTATAATATTTAATCATTAAAGTAAAACATATCTATGTAAGAAAATCTGAGAATGCAAAGATCATAACAAATACTAAGAAAACTAATCTATAGAACCATCATCATATAGTTAATTTCTTAACCAAATATTTTTAAATAGAAAATAATTCAGTATGACGTGCTAAAAGTACTCCCCCAAGTAAGCAAACAATGTTACATTAAACGTTGGGCGCTCCTGGGCGCCGGACTTGGCGCCCAACGCTTAGACGCCTAGGCGGGCGCCTAAGCGGTTTCTGGGCGGTTTTTTTTTTTTAAATTGTGATACTTGAAGATACATATATATACTCAATCAACAATGCATAAATACAAAAATACCAACACATATGCTATCCAAACTATAATAGTCAATCAAAGATGCATACATACTAAATGACAAGGCATATAATAGTACACTCGGATACTTTTTCATTTGAAATAGGAAAATTAAACTTAAACAATTGAACAAATAAACTTAACAATTAAACTAAATATGATATAAATATATTAAGTTAACATGTAATAAATTATAAATGCATATGACAGTCATAGGTGGCTAGGAGCAGTTAATTTCCTTAAGCTTGAAACAACAAATCTCAACTTCGCTAGCCTGCTAAACTGAAGAACATATAATAAAAAATCCTCACAAGTAATAAGAATCTACCAAACATGAAACATCAGCGGATTAAACTTACTATCTCTCTTAAACATACGGAAAATTCAAATGATCAGGGACGTTACCTTTCCAATCAACACAGATTTTACCTTTCCAATCAACACAGATTTCTCTTAAACAAGTAAGCAACAGACACAAGTAAGCAACCCAATAAAAATTATCAACCCAATCTGCTTAAGAGCACAGTCGAACCCAAGTTTGAAGTCGTGTTTTACTTACAGGTTGAAGATGAGAACGAAAGTCCAGCACGAGGATGAGAACGACGAGCTCGAAGATGAGCTCGAAGTTGGAGATGAGAACGACGAGCTCGAAGATGAGCTCCCAGGTTGAAGACGAGCTCGAAAGTCCAGCACGAGGTCGAACTTGGGTTTTGGCGGAGATCGAAGACGAAGCTCCAGCACGAGACCGAACTTGGGTTTTGGCAGAGATCGAAGACGAAGCTCCAGCACGAGATACGATCTCCCAGGTTGAAGATGAGCTCGAAAGTCCAGCACAAGGTTGAAGACGAGCTCGAAACTCCAGCACGAGATCGAAGACGATTTTTTCTTTTTGCTGGCAGCGTCGGTGAAACTGTAAAAGAGATTTAGGGTTTGACTTTTACTTTTGAGTTTGGGTTTTGGGTTTTGGGTTTTGGTTTTGGGTTTGGGTTCGGGTTCTTGGGAGCGCCCAGGGATTTTTTTTGGGCTTGAATTTGTGAGGCGGCCCGTGTAATCGGCCCGCTTAGCCCTGGGCGGCCGCCTAGGCGCTCGCAGCGCCTAATCGCGGCCGCCCAGGGCATTTTTGCACGCTCTGGGCACCGCCTCCGCCTAGGCGGGCGCCTAGACGGCCGCCCAGAGCGTGTTTTACAACACTGTAAGCAAAGATCAAATTACTCTCCCAAATAAGAAGATATTAAATACTCCACATAAAAGCCCATGGCACATTAAAGCTGACCGACAAAATCAACAAAAAGTAGAAAAGATAAGAAGGGGGTATTTCACCTCATCTCCCACCTAAAGTATTTATCCATTGTTCTCAGGCCTTCATTTTCCACCTTTAGCAATTGATCATTATTCCTTGTCTTATGTGTGTGACACTTAAACATCAATGCAACTCATCAAGCAATAGCATAGGGCCCAAGGACCATAGTAACATTATTTTCCCCTTTGTTATATTTTTTTTCTCATGTCCCCATTCCTTCCTCTCTCCATGCACTTTGTCTTGTGGTTATACCTTTATATGTCTTGAACATCCTTACACTTCTGTTTTTCTTTCTACCAAAGGATCATGATGCTTTGGTATTGCATGTGTATCAACATGCATATCGCTCACAGCAAGTTACCAACAATAGCATATAGTCCTCTCTTGCTTGTCTTCCATGTTTCCACCATACTGTTTTAAGATCTTCCTTTGCACTATTGTTTCATCTTCTTTATCCGACCCCTACCAGCATTTTTATTATTCTCCTTTCATATATATCCTCCTATCCTATGTTTCCTCTGTACTCTTTTCACATCTTCCTTCACACTTTCATTTGCATTATCTCTCCGCCACCTTTCAACATTTTTATTGCCCTCTTTTTGATGTACATCCTCCCTTCATTTACTTGAATGCAAGGTATTTAGTTTTTATTGCTCATTATTAGCCAGTAAAAGACATTCAATTATACCATTTGGATCTTTGCATGATGTACTTGCCTTGCATACTGAAGTTAGAATATGTTTGTATGATAAAAATAGTAGGTTGTAAAATAGAAAAGAAGAAAAAATGGTCCATCTAAAATTAAGAATTTAACATATTACTCTATTATGCTTTCCATGTGGTTGCATAACTGGACATCTGGTTCCAATTTACATAAGAGCAATTTTGCTTTTGTTAAGATATAGAGAAACTAACAAATCTAATATACTAGAAATGTTGTATGAAATAACTGCAGTTAATGGAACTTGCGCACACTTTCCCTTTGTTCAGCTTTAGAAGTCGAAGACTCGAATCAATTACATATACAAATATCTGTCTATGTAAACAGTATACCAATATAAATTAAAAGTAGGGCATAATGGGGATGACAACATCAAGCAGACCAAAAAGGATTGCCCCGAATTAGAGGGTATGGATTGGGCATAAACATGTGTGTAACTGGACCAATCCTTTTAACTGGACTAATCAATGAGCCCGGTATGAGCTAAGGTAGTTTGCAAGGTTAGTCCAATTTGTCCAATTAAAAAAATGCAAACTGCCTTTAAAGATTAAAACACATAATACAAACGATAAATAAGTAGGATAGAGCTATACTCATTTATAAACACAATGGTATCTGGTGTTAGAGCACCAAAATGCATATATGAAGGCAATATGCGCTCAATCTTCACAATTAGAATATTATCTAGAATAATAGCTTATATACAACCTGACTTGCTGGTAATTGGGTTTGATAGATAGGTTGTATGAGTAACCCGATTATTAGGCAAAGTGGATATGAATTGAGTAACTTGACCCATTAAATAAATGGATCAGATATGCGTGTGATATATACATCTTGACCGTCTCATACTTGCTCTAGGTCATTCAATTCTCATCATAATGTTTACATGTATACTAAAGAGCTTGCAGTCAATTATAAAAGAGTGTGCCTATAAAATAACTAGTCTAAGATTTGAATAAAACAAAAAGTAGACGACGATTCTGAGATTTAAATGAAACAAAAAAATAGACAATGGTGAAGAAAGGCAGGTTTCTAGTTTTAAATAGAAGAACGCATGGATTCAAAAGTATGTTAATGGTCCATATTCTTTTCCTCAAGACAGAACCTCTTCCCTGTAGAAACCTAAGAAGAGAGCAAACAGCTTTATAATAATCATTGTCTTAAGAAATGCAGGAAAGATGTGGGGTCATGGGGTTGAAGCTAGCACCTGAGTTGCCTAGGGAACCTGCTTAACCGAAACATACTCAAAGACGCAATGACTGACAACAGTAGGCATACTATGTGAGCACAGGTCCCTTATTAAATCATATTTGTAAAAAGAACAGTATAAACTTGCTCAATTTGCCCAAGGAGACTGTGCTATGTAACCAGAGTCAAAATTTCAAAGCATATGAATATCATGGCCGGACAGACTTTGAATATGTCCAAGTCACTTTAAATTTCTAACACACTCGATAGCTCAGATTCATCAAAAGAGCCAAATTACTAAAGTTGCCTTATTTTAACCATATGAGATGAGGTGCTGCTAACAACGAAAGGATCATGAACCCAATATCACAAAACTAACAAATTCAAATCCAACGTAATAATGGATCCCATCTGCTACCTAATTGTAACAAATCCCGCAAAAAGAAACCTTATACAAGTCTCAAGATAAAATTTTCAAAAGGTGAAACTTTTTCTTACATGTTGAAGCATCCCTGGCACTTTACATCCTAAATCATAAAATAGAAAAGGATCAATCAACATTCCATCACGAATCAAATCAGTTAACTACAGAAAGAGAGGGGAAAAGAGACGAACCATGAAGAACGAGTTAGGGGATTGAACGAGGCGCTTGAGCTTGTGTCTCCTCTTCTCGAGCTCCGCTGGCGGATTCAAAAGATCAATGTCGTTCGGGAGAACCTAACAACAACAAAATCGAAGGGAATTCGTCAAAGAGAGCAGAAACCCTAAACCTAGAAAAATGACGGGATCGAGGGGAGAGAAGAAGTACCATGTTTTGGATCCAGATGAAACCCTAGAAAAGATCGGACGCCGTTCTGGGAAGGAGAGAGGCAGCGGGAGAGTAGGAGGGAGACGAGAGAAGTAAACCCTAATTTTGAGGCTTTTATACGGGGCCAAGTCACGTGAAATTCACGTGTATTTAGAAACAGACTAGGCTGTTTGGTTGCTTTTCATAGGACGAAGCGAGCAAAATTGGACCCTTTATAAACCGAAAAATGAGCATTTGCTTTAAAAAAAATACACACTATTAGCTAATCATTTATAACAAAAATATAGCAAACTGCAAACAAAGAATAATTGACACCATATACCAAAAATACAAAGCAGATTTAGAATTAGTGCGGACAACTATTTTGTGTCCAAAGGCCTGTTTGTTTTGTTAAGAAAAGTCCAGAAACATATTTCCAGACCAACTTTGGAACAAAAAGTGACCTATTTCTTTGTTCTTTCATATTTGCTTCGTTATCTCATTCTTAGGAAAATATCAATTAAAATAGCGTTTCGCATCAGCTTTACTCGGAAATGAATATCCGAGCTCAGAGCTTCGAATTGGAAGGAAACTTAAAAACTATTTAAAAAACATAAGATGGGACATTTGGTTTCTAGCTTGCAGAATTAGGGATAAGATTAAGCTGTTTGGTTCATTTTTTAGAAACCCAATTTTAAGAGATTACTCATGAGAAATAGATCGCGTGGGACCTATTTTCATATTTTTGAAGTTCATTTCATGACTTTTTAGAAGAAAATGAGTTTTCTTAAATTTAGGACCATGATACTATTATCTTATTAGTGGATGAGTCCACATGCACAACATTTTTTTCCTCTCTCAACCATACACAAGAAAAGAAAATCAAACACCTTCGCGTGGCTGTGTCGGATGTTTTGATTTACTTTTCTTAGTTTGTCAGCCAATGAAACTGTTGACTCTTAAGTTTACGAACTTAGAACTCTCCCAAATAAAAACAAAGAACTTACTTTTATTTCTTCAATTTCTTCTTGATGAAACAAGGATTACAATAGCCCTTTATATAGGCTTCAAAAATAAAACGTACATGCATACCAATAGTCACAAATTAAACTACTATTTTAATGTCATAAAGATAAAATAAAACATCATAAAGGAGTGAGTGACTTTTATCTTCTAAACTTATGACACTTGCACTTCTAAAACTCATGTTGTTAACCTCATTTATTCTAACATTTTAATTTGATATTCCAACACGCCCCTTCAAATCAAAATGTATTTATGCCAAGCATGTCTCTTAGCCTCATGAAAGTTTCACCTGATAATGGTTTGGTGAAAATGTCTGCTACTTGTTTAGTGGTGTGACAATGCTTCAGTTCAACAGTTTTCTGCTTTACATGTTCTCTGAGAAAATGAAACCGTGTATCTATGTATTTGCTCCTCCCATGATGTACTGGGTTCTTTACAAGCTGGATGGCTAATTTGTTGTCCACAAAAATTACGGCCGAGTCTTCTTGTGGATGTTCCAACTCTTTTAATATGTTTCGCAACCAAATTGCTTCACATACTGTAGATGCAGCCACCACATACTCTGCTTCACATGAAGATAAGGCCACAACTCCTTGCTTCTTTGAGGTCCATGAAAATGCAGTTGACCCAAGATAGAAGACATAGCCTATGGTGTTTTTCCTCTCATCTTGGTCACCTCCCCAGTCACTATCTGAGTAACTAACTAGTTGTACATTTTCATCATATGCATAGAAGAGACCCAGGTTGAGTGTGCCTTTGATGTACCTTAGTATCCTCTTCGCAACTAGCCAGTGAGACTCATTCGGTGTCTCCATGTAGCGACTCACAAGTCCGACTCCATAAGCAATATCGGGCCTTGTGATCGTCAAGTATCTCAGACTGCCAACTAGACTTTTAAAAAGAATTGAATCCACGAAACGTCCGTCTCCTTCTCTTGAGAGCTTCATTCCGATGGCTACTGGGGTGTTCACAGGGTTGCATTCATTCTTGAACTTCTCTAAGATCTCCTTCATGTACTTCTTCTGGGATATAAAAATCCCCTCTTGCTGCCGCTTCACTTCAATGCCAAGAAAATAGGACATCAATCCATTGTCCGTTATCTCAAATTCATTGAACATTGTCGTCTTGAATTCAGCAAGCATCTCGGTACTGCTTCCTGTGTACAATAAATCATCAACATAAAGACAAATTATTAGAAATTCGCCTTTATGGTTCCTCTTCATGTAGATGGCATGTTCATAGGGACATTTAATGAAGTCGTTTTAATGAAGATAGCCATCAATTCGGGCGTGGAGACTTCTTTAAGCCATACAAGGCTTTTTTCAAATGGTACACTTTGTCTTCTTGCCCTTTCATAAGAAAGCCTTCTGGTTGTTGCACGTACACCTCTTCCTCAAGAACGCCATTGAGGAATGCTGACTTGATATCCAAATGATATATATTCCACCTGTGATGAGCTGCAAAGTGAAATTAATAGTCTCACAGTATCCAGTCGAGCAATCGGAGCAAAGGTTTCTTCATAGTCGATGTCGTACTGTAGGCTGTCTAAAATCACAATAGATAGCTTATTCAAACAAGCTCCGACAACGGAGGTCACAATCAGACGACTTCCCAATCACTGCATCCGCAACTCCACAATCGCCACAAACGCGACCTCACTTCTGAGATGATTGATCTTGATGGTTGTGACAACAGCATGGCTAATATCATAGCAACTATTAGAGATGCTGATGAGCAGTGTGATGATTTCAGAAATAAAAGGTTGGACTCAGTTGGTGAGTTGCTTGGTAGAGAGCTATGGGCAAATATTCGTCTTCAAGACACTATGGATGTTGATTCTCGTCTAGCTTCAATAACGAAAGCTACAATCAAATAGCTTTCGGGTCGGTGATCGAAAGCGGCAAATAGAGGACTTTTCACATAGATCGAGAAGGGTTACAATTCAACGACACTTCCGACAACTGATGAAAACTCTATTCAGCAGTCTTCACAATCTGCAGTGAAAGTTACAATCTGACGGCTTTCACACTCCACAACAGCTAAAAGCCAGGATTACTGAACAACGGTCCTTGCAACGCACTACAGAAGAAGTTACAAATCAACTAACTCCTTCTGAAACGCGGATGTCATCCCCGCGTCACCAAGTTGGAAATGAAGGCGACCCACGCGTCGTCAATGCACAAGCCAAACGTGAGCGACCCTCGCGTTCAATGGTGTTCAACCAACAGCGACCCTCGCGTCATCAAGGCACAAACCAAACGCGAGCGACCCTCGCGGCATCTGAACCACACAGGTTGGATTCAAAAGATCTAAACCATACAGGCTGGAGATTTTCAGTTCTCAAACAAACTCGACAGAGTTAAAGGATCGGATTTTTGATAATCAGATCAGAGGTTGGATTCTTTATCATCAAAACCACTCAGGTTTGGAGATTCGGCAACTACAGCAACGAAATCCTAGGAGATAGGATTTTTGAATCAACCTCAGAAGATCAAATCTGAGGATTCTTCGACAACAGAAAAAAACAGCTTGATCCTTAACCGAATTCTCGGTTCCAACAACTCTATTCACAGAGTTCAAACTCGTTCAGAGTTCTTAAACTCATTCAGAGTTATTCATAAAACTTTCCACGAAAGTTCATCGTTCCCACGAGATAAAGACGGTCGGATCGTCAACGGAGAGCAAGTTCGACGCAATCAATCGAAGGAAGCACTCCATCGCTGCCAAGAAGAACCCAGTTTTAAACAAAGGGGAAAACCAAATTCATTTTCCTCTCTTTTGTAATCAAGTTGTAATCGAGATCAAAGAAATACAAGTCAATTTTCCTTTGTTCTACATACTTGTACTTTTGTTTGTAACCTTTTGCTACAAGCCTCGCCTTGTACCGATCAACTTCACCATTTGTTGTGCGCTTGATCTTGTACACACACTTGACCCCTATTGCCTTGTGATTTTGTGGAAGTGTTGTCAACTCCCAAGTGTCATGTTTTTGGATGGCGTGGATCTCCTCCTCCATTGATGTTTGCCTACAATCTTCTTTTACGACTTCTTAGAAGGTAAGAGGTTCATGATCAGTATATAAGCAGAAGAGATTTGACTCTTCGTCTTCTTCTATCGGCTCATAGATCTCCCTGAGGCTTCTCATGTTGATGGGACCTCGTTGCACTGTAGATTCGCTGCTACTATCTTCCCCAGAAGATGGAGAACCTCTTGCAAGAGAGGGTGTAGAATGTGGAGGAGATGGTGGCGTAGCTGGTGATGGTATCTCATGTAGAGACTCATCAAGTTCATCACTATGAGTTGATCTTTGGTAGTCTATTCATTGCTCCAGTTTCATGCTTCTTCTTTATTGAAAACAACGTCTCTACTAACAACTAGTTTCTTGCTTAGTGGATTGTAGAGCTTGTATGCCTTTGACTCCTCACTATATCCGATGAAAATATATTTTTCATCGTGATTGTCAAGCTTCTTCCTTTTGACTTCAGGTATTTGAGCATATGCAACACACCCAAAATTTCGTAGGTGTGTCACACTAGGCGTGTAACCGCTTTATGCCTCTTGAGGTGTCATGTTCTTCACTATCTTTGTAGGACATTGGTTGAGCAAATAAGCTGAGCACACTACGACTTCTGCCCAGAACTGTTTGGCAATCCCTTTTCTTTGAGCATGGTTCTTATCATGTCGAGGATGGTCCGGTTTTTTCTTTCTGTAATGTTATTTTGTTGTGGTGTGTAGGCAGTAGTAAACTGTCTCTTTATACCTTGCTCCCTACAATATTCTTGAAACATATTTGAGGTGTACTCACCACCTCGGTCAGATCGAAGAATTTTTAGCTTGTGGCCGCTCTCCGCTTCAACTAAAGCTTTAAAATACTTGAATGTAGTAAAGGCAGCAGATTTTTCTTTAAGAGTGTACACCCACAACTTTCTACTGTAGTAAAGGCAGCAGATTTTTCTTTAAGAGTGTACACCCACAACTTTCTACTGAAGTCATCAATGAAGGTTATAAAATATCGAGTGTACACCCACAACTTTCTACTGAAGTCATCAATGAAGGTTATAAAATATCTATTACCTCCCAAAGATACGGGATCGATCGGTCCGTA